CCTGACTTCACTGGATCTTTTCCTCCTTGCACACCAGTGGAGCCTCCGCGGCCAGTCTACGGTCCTCCGCCAGGCACCGCGTGAGTGGCACGAACACTGAGGACTACACATTGCGGCTCTGGGTTTGCTCCCTCTACTGCCGACCCGTCGCTGTTTCTGCGCCACGACACTTCTTTGCCGCCTTTCTACATTCATCGTGTGTACGCGACAACTTGGTCTTTGGCCACAGCTGACACTGCTGGACTCGCCACGTGAAGTCCCGAACTGCAGAAGAGACACACGTGCACAGACCTGGGTGAAGTGCGCAACTACCGTGGCTTGCAGATCACCCGGGACAGAGCACGCCGCACCTTACCCTGCTCAGTCACACATGGTGTAGCACTACAGTGTAGGATTCCACTACTAAAGCAGCTTGATAGAGCTCAGAAGCACGATTCCAACGCACCAAAGAGTGCAGGAAACGGTCCACTATAGCCAGAGATACACACAAACATAGCAGTGATTATGACTTGGTTGATTTCTGGTTTGTGGTCTTTGGTTTATACTAGGACGCAATACAAAATAAAAGCACCCAAGATAGTGTCGACCCGGGTCGCACGTTGAATTTCGTGGACGCGAAAATTTGGAGCCTTGAATTTCCGCGACAAGAATTCCGTCGACCACCGACTGTAACTCCCGTGCGAATTCTTGTTGACTTCGGACACTTCGCTGCCGAGTTTCAAACCGAACGCGACCCGAGATCGATTTCGCCAAACTGTCCCCAATCTGTCCCCAAACTGTCCCCAATCTGTCCTGACAAGACACTTTCGGGACACTTGAATCGAAAGGTCTCCAGTTTGAAACTCATGTGCACCATAACCAGCGCCTTAGGAGAAACTGTCCTGAATCTGTCCTGAGACACTTTCAGGACAGATTTGAAGGTCATGAGTACGAATCCCAGCGCAGACATTTTGTTGCTCATGGCAGCATTTTCCTTCTAACAAGCAGGTCCTTCAACGCTTCGGCTTCACGTACTCCTCGCCTCAGGCCACTCCTCTGCCTACTCGCCACTCGCTCTCAGCTCTGCCTTCGGATGAGTCCGTAGAGTCGAGTGGCCCGTACCCAGAGCTTCTTGGCTGCCTCATGTACCTGATGACCTGCACACGACCTGACCTTGCATACCCTCTTAGCATTCTCGCACGCTATGTTGCTCCTGGGAGACACAGACCGGAGCACATGGCTCCAGCGAAGAGGGTTGTTGCGCTACTTGTGCAGTACGTCGGGCATGGGGCTTGTGCTTGGAGGGCGGAGTCCAGTGGTCCTCACTGGGCACGCAGACGCTTCTTGGGCTGACGACCAGGCTACGCAGCGGTCGTCACAGGGTTACACCTTCAGCCTTGGTTCCGGCTCTGTTTCGTGGCGGGCTACCCGCTCGTCTTCTGTTCTTGGCTCCAATTGTGAGGCTGAGATCTACGCCGGGGCCATGGCTGCACAGGAGCTTCGCTGGCTCACCTACCTGCTGACTGACCTCGGAGAGCCGCCTCGTTCTCCTCCAGTGCTGTACGTAGACAACAAGGCATGCTGGCCTTGTGTCGAGAGCAGAGACTGGAGCACAGAACGAAGCACATTGCTCTCCGCTACTTCCTTGCTCGTGAGCTACAGCAGCGTGGTCAGCTGCGCCTTGCGTACGTGGCCTCTGAGGCCAACACTGCTGATATCTTCACCAAGGCGCTTGCGCCTTGTGATCATCAGCGCTTCTGTACTCAGCTGGGTCTTGTGCCTACCTTGCCTCACTTGCTCACCCCTTGACCTTGTTTGTACTGTTTGCATAATATATATACACCTGCTCTTGCTTGTCTAGCCTTATATATGTATGTAATCCTGCATGTGAACTGGCCTTGTGGCCTTGAACTTGTGCTCGGAATGTGTGGTGACTTTGTGATCCACCCTGAGCTTTCTTTGCTTTGCTTGACTGGTCTTGTTGACCCCTTGTTCTCCCCCACTTTGCCTATGGGGGTGTGTCAGATTTATATGACATAGTTACTGTAGGCTATAGTGGGGTAGCACATATGGGGTACAGCTTTCTAGGGTTTGTACTTGTACCCAACTTTCCCTTAGTGATTTCATTCTCGTTCAGTTTCTCAGTCGCAGCTCAATTACCCGCGCTTTTTTCCCCAAACCTGTCGCAAAACCGCTGCATCGCACCCCTGTGCTTCAACCCTCCCATGTGCAGCCTCACTATCGACGCAAAGGTCGCTCTTCACACTCTCCATCACAGGCGTGCCAGACAACCCAGCGCCGGTCTTCTCCAACGCCACCTACTACACCAGCGCAGGCCAGCTCGTGGTGGAATTCGCGTGCGTGCCCGAGGCCACTGGCACGCAAGGCACCTATCTCTGCAGCAGGAAACAGATGTTGAATCTCTCCGACATGAACACCGCCAGGCAACACGTTCAAGGCGGTGGTGGATGCGGGGCTTTTCTCCAATCCCAAGGGCTTCTATGCGGCTATCAATGTGAATGGAGCAGAACTGCGCGGGGAAATTATAAACCACGATTAGTAGCCTTTTGTAAGGAGGTTTTCTAGCTAGGTTAGCTCGCTGCCCACGTCATTCATTGTATTGTTAAGTCCAACCATGCCATAGTTGCTTCTGGGTCGAAGCATTGATCTAATCATAAGATCAACATTCTGCAGAGGCTTGCCCACCCAACTTCCACCCATGGAGGGATGCAAAGGAAACTCGTCCCCGCTGCCCATGTGAGGCGGACTCGTGCTCGAAGCTGGTTAGGGAGCTGCTTTGAGTGCTGTTGGTCAGTGTGCTATCGTCGGACAGGCAGGGCACACGAGCAACGGTGGCGCAGAGCAGCGTCGATAGACAATGGTGGATGGAGGCAGTGAGTGAGGTGAGGTGCCTTTGGGTTAACTCAACTGTCACCTGATAGGCCACTGAACTGACTCATGGGGGCAGTGATGCATTGCCGAAAGCCCATGGCGGAGAGCTCACAGGCAAGGTGGCAGTGAGAGTGGTGAGCGCATGTGTGGATGTTTTTTACAGCGGATGGGCTTATAGAGGGTGCAGAATGATGGCCGGGAAAATCAATACGATAGCATACATTAGCAGCATTTAAGTGCTTACAATCACATTCTCAAAACATGGGCCAGGCCCAGTCAATCACAGGTTAGCAACAGTGGGGGTGATTTCTCCCGCGCAGGTTCCGCGCCGTTCACTTTGATCGCCGCGTAGAATCCCTTGGGGTTGTCGAACAGCCCTGCATCGATGAGCGTCTTGGCCTTGGCCCACTGGCTTGTATGGCACGGGGATTTTCACGACTGCCCCCACAGCGCAGAAGTAGGTACCTGCTGCACTGGTGGCCTTGGGAATGCAATCAAAGTCCAGCACGAGTTTGCCCGCGGTGGTGTCGTAGCCCGGTTTGGAGAAAGACCGGCGCTGGCTTGTTTTGGTACTGTTGTGACGTAGAAGCCGAAGAGTGGTTTTTGCTCTGATGCCGTGCTGCGAATGGGAGGGTGAGTCACAGGGGTGGCGCCACAGGGGTAAGACGCAGGGGGTGAGACCGCAGGGGGTGAGACGCAGGGGGTGAGACGCAGGGGGGTGAGACGCAGGGGGTGAGACGCAGGGGGTGAGACGCAGGGGGTGAGACGCAGGGGGTGAGAACCAGGGGGTGAGGACGCAGGGGGTGAGACGCAGGGAAGAGATGCGGGGGAGAGATGCAAGGGTTTGTGACAGCTTTGGGACAGAATGGGTGCAAACGATTCGTGTCACACACCTTCAGTCCACGAGCTGCAGTGGGTACCGCCGGGTAATAGAGCGTTGGGAGGCGGAGACTGTGTAGGAACGGAAGTGAGCCTCAACAGCTAACATCAAGGTACACAAGGTACACTCACATGTTAACATCAATGTTGAACTTGGCGTTTGGGCTAGCCCCGCGGTTGAGCACTGAGGTAGCTCGATCTGCAGGTAGCACAAGTGGAAACAGTCAACTTATGGGAGCATTTGTGTTTACACTCTGAGGCAGCAGGAACGTTGAAAGCAGGAGGGGAGCAGGCGGAGGAGAGGTATATTGGTAGATTTGAGTGCAGTGACACATGTGCTTATATGTGCATGTGCACGGGCTTACATCTTATGGGAGCATTTGTGTTTACAGTGCTGCTGCTCGTCCCTCCGCTACTTGTATCGCCGCTGCTCCCGGTGCTTCCCCCCACTCGTGCTCCCTCCGCTGCTCCCAGTGCTGTTCCCACTCGCGCTCCCTCTGCTGCTCCCAGTGCTGTTCCCGCTAGCGCTCCCTCCGCTGCTCCCAGTGTTGTTCCCGCTCGCGCTGCCTCCGCTGCCCGTCCCTCCGCTGCTCCCAGTGCTTCCCCCGCTCGCGCTCCCTCCGCCGCTCCCAGTGCTGCTCCCACTCTCGCTCCCGCTGGAGGTGATGGTGGTGACGGCGCCGCCAGTGCTTATAACGGAGCCATCAGGGCCGTACGTGGTGCTGTTACTCACGCTGGTGCTCGTGGTGGTGCTGGTGGTGGTCGTCGTCGTTACAGTCATGATACCGCCGCCCCCGTCCTGCAGCACGCGGCGCTTGCCGGCGGGTGTGGCGCAGTGGGAAAGTGAGAGCAGCGCTGACGCAAACGATGGGGTGGGGGGAAACAGAAAATTGCAATGAGGTGAGTTGCTCCGCGGGAAAGCGGGGAAGTTCACGCGGAGGGACAGCGAGGTGCGATGGCGACGGGGGATGGAAGCGCGACCTGGGTAGGCCCACGAGTGGTCGCGCATGGCGAATAAACTCAGTGTATAACTTTAAGCTAGGCGCGCGAATACATGCGCGCCGCGGATCGAGCATGAGGCGGACGCGGAGGCGACAAAGCAGAGGAGGCGAAAGTAGGAGCGGCGGACTCACCAGCGACGATGACGACGGCGAGTAGCGTCACGTTGAGCGCTGACGAGCGAGAGTGTGATGTCGTCTGGGCCATGGCTGGAGACGCAAGTCCAACTCTCTGGAATACCGCCATTGGGTGGAGGATGGAAGGCAGTCGCAACCCTAGTGATGGAGCTAAAAGGAGCAAAAGGCGGGTAGCTAGCTGTTGGGACTGCGCACCGGCGGCCGCACTAGTACTACTAGGGATGTTGGAGATAATAGCAGCAAAAGGTAACGATGGGAGCGCGAGAGTCTGTCTTATAGCGGGATGGAAGGAGAAATCGTCGGACTTCACAACTTGTGAAGCCTCTCCCTCGATTCCACATCACCGTCCGCACATTCAGGTGCTCCATCCTAGTCGTTTCCGCCACGCTACGATCCGTCGTATTCATTCCCGCATCGTCGGATTATTCCGGCGTGCGCAAACCTGCCGACATTTAGGTGCCATTTCAGGCGGTGACATGCTCTCGTGGAAACCATTCCGCGAGTCGCGATTGAACGGGCTCAGGTGTGCTTGACTTCCGGCGTTTGCATTGATGAAATGTTTGGCGGTGATCCGGCCGCAATCGGAATGGCGGGATTTGAGCATGTGGTGTTCGATCCAGTGGCGCCCCGATGCAGGTAATGGCGTCGCCTCGCGTGCTGCATTCTTTCAGTTCAGTGTGTCGCCTGCTGTCGCGCAGATAACAAAGCTTCCCGCAGGACACGGTGGGGCGTACCTCAGGTGTGGGGTGGAACTCCCTGCCTGCCGCACCTTACTCAGGTAACCCTGCTTGCTTGGTTCGGGGTTGCGCACAGTCGTGGTGCACCTTTCCGCCCAAGCCTGGTACAGTAAATGGGGATCTGCGCTGGGAATAAGCTTTCACCACTCATCAGCCTGCTTTGCGCCGGCTTGGCACTGAGAAAACTCTAAAGGGTGCTGTATTTTGCAGTCCATCTGGGCCCTGGTGGGTTGGTTCTCACCAGGGCCCCCTCCTGGTGGAAACGGGTTTCCACCAGGGCCGCACGCGGATGCCCGGTGTGTCGCGACCCCCAGCTGGGAATCGCACGCGAGAGGGAGTCCCCCGCCCCCTCCCAGGGTCCCTAGCGAGATCCGGGCGGCGGAGCAAGCTGGCGGGGTGGCCCCGCGCCGAGCCCGGGCCACGCCAGCGCCACGCAGCGTGGTCCCAACCCCGGGACCCCCCGGGCCCAGCCCTGGCTCGCGAAACCCCTCGCGAAACCCATCGCTCTCCAATCCGAGGGCGAGGGCCGAACCCCAGCGCGCCGAGACGGATCCGGCCAATCGGAGCCGTTTCCGACTGGTCTGTCCCTCGGAGAACCCTCGCAAAGCATTTCGCATGCAAATCCGCGCGCGCGAAATGGCAATTCGGGCTGGCCGACACGGATTCGGCCAATGGGAGCCGGTTTCGGAGCGACGGGCGAAGCCATCTCCGTGCTGCCCGAAATGGAGCCGGCCAATCGCCGTCGTTTACGAGCGTCGGAATGCTCGCAAGACCCTCGCGAACAATCGTTCACGGAAAGCATGCTGAGATTAAATTTACGGAGCGGAGTGTACGCCACTCGAAAGATCAAACGAAATAATCTCTCTAATGCATCGGGGAAATATTCAATTGCGAGTTTACGTGTAATATAACGGAGTGTAGTGTTAATTCGGGTGACCCGAATTGGTGTACCTGATCGTTACCTCGGACCTCGGCGGTCGCGACGAGAAAAATTCTCTCTCCGCGGGAGTTGGCAGCCCGCTCCGAACAGGGCTCGCGGATGGTGTGCAACGTGGCGGACGTTGGCTGCACAAGCGTGCATGTTGCGGAACCTCCCCGCAGGGTGAGAGGCCCGCGCAGTTTGACCGCGAGTGCCGTCTCTTGATTCCCTCTCGGCCAACTCTTAGGTTCTCGGTACGGGCACCTGGTGCTCATTTTTGTTCTCCGTCTTCACATCTTGTTTTCTTCCTGCTCATCCGTTCCACGTAGAGTTCCTCATCGCCTAGTGCTAGCAGAGACTCTGCTTGGCCGCGTTCGCGCTTGGTAGCGTCTAGCTTAGCTCTTATTTTCTGCCGCGAGCACTGTTTCGCGTACCGTCCGTCCTAGGTACACGCGAGCACTGCTTCACGTACCGTTCGTCCTAGATACACCGTACCTTTGGTCGCGCTCTTGCGGTCGTACCAGTAATGAACCGCGAAATGAAGGCGCTTAGAGCTGGGTCAAAGGAGGCCGCCTCCTGTCCGGCCATCATCTCTGTTGCGGGAGCCACGGTGGACCTCCCCCCCGAACAGTGGAAGCTGCTCGCTGAGGATAAGCATCCGTTCACGGCCCGTCTGTTCGACTTTGTCACCGGGTGAGATCCATGCGTTCCATTCCCTGACTCCAATATGGACGCGTTGTTTATGGTCGCGGTGTTTAGGCTGTTCGCGACATGTCAGCAATATTTACTAGTGGGCAGTGCAGGCCGCGGCATACCTCCGCTGTGCTTTTAGGTCGCGTTGTTTATGGTTGAGCTTTTCCCCGCGGCATACGTCCCGCACAGCGTGATTGTCCGGAGGTATCTGGAGAAGGAGGTGCATGAGCACGTCCGAATCGTGACGAGCGGTGTTGTCGCGGACATAGTCGCGGGTCGCGATGAAGCGGTCCAAGCCTTTGCCGGTTTGATGGAGTGCAGCCTGGTGGTTTTCTGCATCTGGTCCGAGTGAGTGTTCATTGGGAGAGTTCACTTGTACAGGGAATGCACTCGTTTACGTGGTTTAACGTGGTTGTCAATGGCACGTTCAGGGACTTGTTCGACAAGAAGCGCTCGAACGCGAGCATGCTCATTCTGCTTCACCCCGACCACCTGTCGCTTGACGGTGACGAGACTTGGAACACGCGGTTCGTTCGCGTAGCTATTCCCACTGGTGGTGCGGAACACGTCACCGCGGCGGATGCGATTGTGGAGTGAGTACCGCGTACTGGTTTATCATCAGTACCACGTTCATTTCCGCTCCGAGGCTCATGTCGCTAACCGTGCGTTCGCGTGGATATGTATGTGCTTTTAGGCAGGTGGTTTCAGGGTCGCGTTGACGAGGATTTTGCGCGCGGCTCCATTCAGTGCACCCGCTCCCGCCAGCTTAAGGATCCCGAGCGTCTGTTGGATCTGGTACGTCTGTGTTGTGTACGTGTTCTCGATGACCGCCAATAGTTGCAGTGGTGCTAACAAACCCCATGTAATGTTTTCCAGGACGCGACGTCATTGAAGGGCTCCTGCGGCAAACTCGCTCAAAGCAAACTTCGACGTCCACTCAAAGGAAACAGTAGCAGCACGTGACGTAATTTTCTATGAACGACTCACGCTCCAGACGTACCTTGCCAACTTGCAAGAAGACGAAGACCCCACAGGTGGCCTTCATGGTGATCGAGCCTTCGCCTCAGCAGCGGACGAAGCAGACTAGGACGAGCAGAATGTGGACAACGCATCAGAAGAAGCCGGACCTCTTCCGTTCTGCTCCGTCGACGTTCCCATGGACGAAGACAACCCTCGCGAAAGTGCCAACGCCAAAACCTTCTACCACTTCGCCGACAACGGTTACGTAACACCTGCGACAGTCAACACCAACGAAGCAGAACGAGTAGGACCAAATTTCATACCTGATCCAGAAACGGGAGACGAAGCAGCTTATCCCGAGGATGTAAATCCTCCCCGCTACTCACAGAGTGGACTGCAGATCCTCGGGCTCGTCACCGCAGTCCATGGCTCTGTCGCTCCTAAAGAGCCTGCGACGGTTCAGCAGGCTCTGGGGGGGGAACATAAAGAAAAATGGCGCGAAGCCATGGACAAGGAGCTAAAGGCACTGGAGGAACGCAACACGTGGAAGGTGGTTCCTATCGGTGTGGCACGGAACAAGACAGTACTCACCGGAAAATGGGTCTTCCGTGTGAAGACAAAGGCCGATGGCACCATTGACAAATTCAAAGCACGCTGGGTCGTTCGTGGCTTCGACCAAGAGCACGGCCGCGACTTCACCGGAACATTCGCTCCAGTCAGCCGACACACCTCGCTACGCATCCTTCTCGCAATCGCCGCCATGAAGAAGAAGAAGCTAAGGCAAATCGACGTCGCCAATGCATTCCTCTACGCACCCGTCGACGCCGAGATCTTCGTCGAGCTACCACACGGCTCCAGCACGGACTCGAAACACGTCTGTCAACTACTCAAGTCACTCTACGGCATTAAGCAAGCCCCGCGACTATGGCAACAATACCTACACGCTCGCCTCATTCGCATCGGCTTCAAGCAACTACCGCACGACCAGGGCATGTACCGGCTCTCGAAGGGTACAGACTACGTCCTGCTAATCGTCTACGTAGACGACCTACTCTTTATTGGCTCAACCGAAGGTATTACAACCTAGTTCGAAGGGGAGTTACAACAATACCTCACACTCACAGTCTCACCTACCATCACACAGTACCTCGGCCTCAACATCCGAGAAGAAGAAGACGCTATCTACCTCAGCACCACGAAATACGCCGACACCATCACCAAGCGTTTCGCACTCACACCAACAGCTATCTCCACACCGTACCGCTACACGACAGTAAACAACAAGGAAGGCTCCGCTCTACTCAAGCCCGCCGGCATCCGCGACTACCAGAGAAAGCTGGGCTGCCTTCTCTTTGCAGCTGTCACCTGCCGCCCAGATCTATCCTACTCTGCAAGCCAGCTCGCCACCTACCTCAAGAGGCCTGAAGCGGAACATCTGGCGGAGCTCGACCGCGCTCTTCACTACCTTGTCAGTACCCCGACGGTCGGACTGACTTATCATAAGAACGCAACTACAACGCCTAAGCTAATCGGCTACGTCGACGCAGACCACGCAGGCGACTCCGACAACAGGCGATCACGCACCGGCTACATCTACCGTCTCGAGCCTATCGGGCCTATCTCCTGGCAATCGAGCAAGCAAGAACTAATTGCTCTATCTTCAGCTGAAGCAGAATATATTGCACTCTGCTCAGCCACCAAGGAAGGACTCTATCTTCGCGAGCTACTGGAAGAAGCGAAGTTAGCCGAATTACACAACTT